CAAATGCAAAACTAGTGAAAAACAGTCAGAAAAAATGAGTAGGGAGAAAAAATATTAGTGGCCTCCACCTGTAAAACCATTCCTGTTTTGGGGATCGTCTCATTGTTGCCCATCTAGTAGTCCCATTTGGTAATTTCATTTATACCAAAGTCGCTGAAACTGCCTGACAACCCCTTCTGCTACTTAACTGACCAGATCAATATGCCAGGAGTTTATTTGACTTAATACTATACTCTGATTAAAAAGAGTTCCTTTAATTTTTTTGAGCAGTGTAGTGTTAAAAGTAAAAATAGTCAAAAGGTCAGGTCTGAGCACATAGGCCTTCTTCAAGATAATTTAAAGTTTGTAACATCAGACAAAGAGAAGGCAAATGTAAGTAATACCTTCTTCAGCTCTGTGTATATAAAGAAAAATGGGGAAGCTTAAGTCGATAATGGGGATAGCCCCATTATGGACACATAGCCCTAAAGGACCCCAATGGCTCCAAACTGATATGGTCCAGAGATATTCAGACAAAATAAAGGTAAGTAAAGCACCTGGGCCAAGATGGCTTACACCCTTGTGTCCTCAAAGAGCTGAGCTATGTTATTTCAAAAACATTGATTCTAATTAGGCCAATGCTTAAAGTAAGCAAAAATGTAGACAAAGGAGTGGCTGTGAATATATTATACTTGGATTTTGCCAAAGCATTTGACACAGTTCCCCACACATGGTTAATGGGTAAGTTAAAGCTCACAGGCTTAGAAAATTCAGTATTTAAAAAGGAGAGAAACTGGTTAAAAGACTGTATTCAGAGAGTAGTGATTAATGATTCATACTTATAAATGATAGAGTCTGGGATTAAAAGAACCATTTCAGTGTTTGCAGATTACACCAAGCTATGCAGTGAAATTATGCCAGCTATGTGGCAAGTGATGTATAATGTTGCTAAAGGTAAAGTTATGTACTTGGGGGCCAAAATCATGCATGCATCATACATTCTAGGGAAGTCAATGGTAGAGAAGGATCTGGGTGTTCTAGTAGATCATAGACTTAATAATAGCATGCAATGCCCTCTAGTTTTAAAAGGAGGTATAGACTCCAGGGAGACATAATTTTTGTCCCTCTACAAATCAAAAATAAGTCTTCATCTGGAATATACAGTTCCACTTTAGGCACCAGTTTACAAAAAACATAAATCTGAGAACTGGAGAATGTGCAGAGAAAGGAAACCAAACTGATAAGAGGACCGGAGGAGCTCAGCTATGAGGAAAGATTAGCTGAAATTAATGTATTCTCTCTTGAGAAGAGGCTATTAAGAGGGAATATAAACGCCATGCATAAATACATAGGTGGTCCATATAGTGAACTTGGTGTAGAGTTATTCACTTTCAAGTCATTCCTGAAGACAGTGGGTACTCTTTACGTCTGGAGGAAAAGAGATTTAAACTCCACATCTGGAAAGGCTTCTCCACATTAACAGTGGTGAAAATTAAAACTAAGCTCCCTCAAGAACTAGTTCTAGCCAGCTCAACAGATTGTTTTAAAAAATGAGCTGGGTGCATTCCTAAATGCACAAAATATAACAGGATATTAACATTTACAGGCAACAGCATCAGAGATCAGGAAATATCTGATTGCCTTCAGGGGATCAAGGAGAACATATTTTCCCTTCTAGGACAAATTGGACTATGCTTTATAAGGGGGAGGGGGGTACCGCCTTCTTGATCAACTGTGGGTATAGGATTGTGTATATGGAGGTTTTCTATTAATTTATTTTTCTTTTAGTTGAACAAAATTAATTTTATTCAAGCAAACTACTTAAGTATGTAATGCCAAGAGGTTTATACCATATGTAGCAGGATGACATTTTTTAATTATTTTAATAAAGTAGCCAATCAGCTAAATATAATATTTTGTCAAATAAAGATTTTGGAACCACAGCATCCTGTGCTTGTATTTTTGATTTGGAGATACGGAAGCTTTTGTTTAGCTCACCTTGCTGTGTGGCAGAGGTGTACAAATCTTAGGACTGAATGGACAGGAGGCCCTTTTCACATAATGTAAAAAGCAAACATATTTAGCTCAGAATATAACTAGAGTGTGAAGAGACAAGGCATAAAACATTCAAAACATAATATAGATTCTTTTTAAATAAAGTGTATCGCAAAATCTAAATGTTACCTTAAGAGACTTTGCAGCTTCCACGTGGTTATCATAAACTAATACATCTACAGTAAGGTGATGACGATGGCTTAAAAAATCACTATTCCTTTCAAGAGCTTCTTCTTCTACACAAACTTTCCATGTTGGCAAAGCACATTTGCTGCCATCCCATACCTGTAAAATAAAGTTGTTGAAACTAAATTCACTTGCATGAAAGAGGCATCCAATACTGAGGATAGTGGTTCCCAAGACAGGAGGAAAGTCAAAATCTACCCAAAGGAGCCCCAGAAAGTAATTAAAAAAATGATAGCCGAAATGGGTACGGTAATTGCTAAAACCTCTGCATTTTTCCTTGCAGTAAAAAGGATATCCACCTTTTTAGTTATGTGCGTTTATGAGAAAAATCATTGGCAGAAATTGCTAAATTTTTATCTGATAAATCATACTATTTTTGGATTAGTTTACCTAAAAGAGAAACACATCCAAAATTGTATTTGAAAGCACAATATTTGCATCAAAGCAATGTTGCAAAATAGTTATTTTTACACAGAAATCCATTTTGCATTGTTACTGCAAAGTTGTAAAAGAGCTTATCCAAAATAATTTGTTTTCTGTAATAGTCACATTTAAACCAAACCTGTAATGGCATGAAAAAACAGACTGTCTTGCAGGACATTTTGTTTCACCGCTTTCATCTGTATCGCAGCACATATGGTATCAAAGATCACCCACTGAGCTAAGATCTCACATCACAAGCCATAAAAGATACAGAAATAGTATGCATAACATATTGCAGCACAAGAGAGACTATTGTAGCATACTAGGCAAGAAAATCCTCTGAAGGTAACACTGCTGAAGAAGCTTGTATTCACCAACCCTCATTTTTACAGTTACAGGGCTGAACATCACTGTTCATTGGTCATATGCATATTGACTGTTTTTTGGGTTTTTTGTGCTGGATTGTTAAAGCTAAACTTCACAAATTCAACCAAACTGCAAAATTTGCCAGATTACTATGGGTTAGGTCCAACAAGGTGCATGTATTTAACGAATGCTATACTTCAGGCTGACACTGGACCTTCTGGTCTCAGGTTCAGCCCCTGCAGAGTTGCAAGCAGTCACCATGTCCGCCCCTCCCCTGCAGAGTCACAAGCAGTCACCATGCAAACCTCTTCCCTCCTCCTGCCCAATCACAAAGCACTTTGCATTATGTGAACCCATTTACAAAATACAAAGCCTTCTGTAAATGAACAGCAGAGGGGAGGGGTGAGCAATGATTCTGTGTATGTGAAGACAGCGTCTCTCCTGTCAGAGCACCAGGAGTGTAAGGGCAGCTGTACTACCAGAACTCCATAAAACCATCAGTTGTAAATAACAGAGCTATGTCCATGAGGTGGAATGTACTTAACCCATAGTTAAAGATCAAGAAGAAGGGCACAGGAATGACTAGAAATTGGTATAAGTTTATTGGATAAAAAAACTATAGCATACTTACATCTGAGAACTCATGCTCCGGTAACTAGATCATCAACCAGGGAAAGCAGGCATACTCATCAGCGGTGAAACGGTCAGATGCTGGGACCAGTTATCTGTGGGCTAAAGGATCTGTCAGCTACTGTAAGCAGACAGTAGCTTCAGTGGTACGTGCAGAGCCAGCATAGGAGCATGCTGTGTATCAAAACAAGACACCAACGAGTTTCTAGGGCAACACCCTCTTTTTCAAACTTACCAAAAGGACATAAGATGGTAATATACTGTATATATACCAGGACCTATGCAAGCTGTGTAACTGGGCAAATTAGCACCAAACAAGCACACTAGTTGGCGAACTTCAAGGTTTAGCAGGACCACCGCTAAAAGCTATGTTAATGAAAACTTGAAAAACTGGAATAATTGGAGCTGTGTGACTGGGCATGTTAACGCAAAAGTAAGCACAAAGATTGGTGGACTGCAAAGCTCAGCAGAACCACCAGCAGTCACTAATTAAATTAACTCTGCAGCCTGCCAATCATTGTTAACATGCTCAGTCACACTGTTCCAACTAGTCCCCTTTTACAAGTTTTCACGAATTGTCTTTTCTTTAAAGCTTTTTAAACCGTTTTGTTCATACAGCTTTTACCGGTGCACCTGCTGATTCTTGAAATCCGCCAAGTACTGTGCACGTTTGGTGCAAATTTGCCCAGTCATACAGCTTGTATAGGTCCTGTTGTATATATATGCCCATTTTATCCCCATTTATAGGCTTGAAACATAGGGTGTTGCCCTGGAAACTCAATGCCATCATGTTCTTTTGACACACAGCATGCGCCTATGTTGGCTCTGCATGAACTGCTGAAGCCACTCTCTGCTTAGGCGACAGCTCATTTAGCTCTAGTTATCAAAGCATGAGTTCTCAGATGTAAGTTTGCTATACATTTTATCCAACAAAAAAAAATAATCTAATTTCTAACTGTTTCTGCATCTTTCTTCTTGATCTTTTTACATGCGTGTGCCAGGCCCTTCCATGGTGGTAGAAGGAACAGCAGGAAGATTACCGTATTTTTCGCTCCATAAGACGCACTTTTTTCCCCCCAAAAAAGGGGGAAAATATCAGTGCGTCTTATGGAGCAAATATAAAGCGGCCGGTCCGGTATTTCCACTGCCACCATGTCAGAATACCGGGCCGGCCGCTCATCTGTTCTCTAGGGCAGGAACTCACCTGTTCCTCGGTCCAGCGCTGTAGTCTTCCCGCGCTGGCTTCTTCCCGCCCCGGCATCTGTGACAGCCGGGTGCCCACTGCGCATACGCGAGAAGCGCTGCGCTTTGTGAATGGTCCGGTGTCTTCTGGGACACGACAGGTCCCAAAAGATGCCGGGCCATTTACAAAGTGCAGCGCTTCTCGCGCATGCGCAGTGGGCACCCGGCTGTCAAAGTCGGGTGCCCACAGTATAGGAAGGAGAACTCTGCGGAAGTGGGAGCAGGTACCTGTCAAATTCAGGTACCCGCTCCCCCTCCCTCCCTAAAGGTCCGCAGTGTCTAGTCATCTCCTGTACTGCGTCCGCAGTCTCTGGTCATCTCCTGTACTGCGTCTCGCAGTCCTCTGGTCATCTCCTGTACTGCGTCCGCAGTCTCTCCTGGTCATCTCCTGTACTCCTGTACTGCGTCCGCAGTCTCTGGTCATCCCCTGTACTGTCTGCAGTCTCTGGTCACCTCCTGTACTATGTCCACAGTCTCTGGTCATCTTCTGTACTATTTTCTGCAGTCTCTGGTCATTTCCTGTACTATTTCTGCAGTCTCTGGTCATCTCCTGTACTATGTCCGCAGTCTCTGGTCATCTCCTGTACTATGTCCGCAGTCTCTGGTCATCTCCTGTACTATGTCCGCAGTCTCTGGTCATCTCCTGTACTGTGTCCGCAGTCTCTGGTCCTTCTACTGTACTGTGTCCGCAGTCTTTGGTCATCTCTAGTACGGTCTGCAGTCTCTGGTCATCTCCTGTACTGTGTCCGCAGTGTCTGGTCACTTCCTGTACTATGTCTGCAGTTCATTGGTTCAGAACATTTTTTCTTGTTTTTCTCCTCTAAAACCTAGGCATGTCTTATGGTCAGGTGCGTCTTATGGAGCGAAAAATACGGTAATACTTTTATCTTGTGATGGATTTCATTCACTATGGATTTCCCCATTGTGGTTCTAAGGACATTTCAATTGGACTAAGGTTATGTGATGTGTGCTATTATCTCTCTAATCATCCACTTTTGTGTTCATGTGCACGGACACTCCTATTTTTATCTTTAAACATAATTCATAGCAACCCAGAAGCTTTCACAAAGTAATTGAATTCCTGCGGTTCAGCTTTAAGGTAGACAAACAGGTTGTACAATAAAGTTAATAGTGTTGAACATGCACCATAACTGCCAACAATTTAAAGTGTAAATCCAGTGAACACTTTTGGCAAGATATACTCACATTATTTGTACTGGTGACAGGGAAAGTGAGGAGGATAATCAGAATTTTGACTTACCTGTAAATTCCTTATCTTGGCGTGAAGTACAGGATTCAGTACTGATATACATACACCATGGGTTATATGCTGCTACCTCTAGGTGATTGGACACTGACAAAAAACGTTTGCTAAAGCCATCCCTAGATCATACTAAAACAACCCTTCCTGCTCAGTGAGGCTCCAGTGTTTTAACAGGCAATAAGATGTGACCAGGACACAAAGTACAGAAGACCTTTTTCCTGTACTACATGACAGTGATACTTTTTTTTTTTGCACTAACATACAATTTTGGGAGGACAGCTTTCGGGGTATGTTCCCTTCTTCAAGATCAGCAGTAATCAAATTGAATTGTTTCTGTCGCAAGTGCACTAATACGGCTACAATCACCTCCTGTACTACATGGAATTTACAGGTAAATCAAAATTCCTATTCCTATTACCTTGATTGTATAGGGCAGGACACAGGACAGCTATTCATTAACCATTAGATAAACCCATGGAACTGCCAACAGTCCTACAAGAAGCACAAGGGTTTAAACATCCCCCCCCAAAAAAAACCAAAACAAAAAGCTCAGATAACAACGTGAAGCATATTGCAACCAAAGCTAGTATATAACTGAGGCCTGAACACCCATCTGGTGGATCTTGGAAAGCTGAGAACAGAGGCCCAGATGGACTTGTAAATCTGAGATACAGAAGCTTGATGCTGAAAAGCTCAGGAGACTCCAACAGTCCTGATGGAATGGACGCTGATGGGAAAGGGAGGAACAAGGCATAGGCCTTGGAGATGAGCTGCCTGATCCACCTAGAAATTGTGCAGTGGGAAGAAGTGTATCCTCTATGAAGACCCCCAGGTAGAACAAAAAGGGACTTTAACTTGCAAAAGGAGGATGTTGCTAGCATGTAGGATTTTGACAGCCATCACATCTATTCAATGTAGAGTGAGGAACAGAAGTATTTGAACACCCTGCGATTTTGCAAGTTCTCCCACTTAGAAATCATGGAGGGGTCTGAAATTCACATTGTAGGTGCATTCCCACTCTGAGAGACAGAATTTAAAAAAAAAAAATCAGGAAATCACATTGTATGATTTTTAAAAAGGTTTTGCTCTCAGAACCACCTTGTCCTTCTGCAAAAGGATAAAAAAGGCTCTTTACAAATAGAGCTGCTAACTCAGAAACATGCGTAACAGATGTTGTGGCAAGAAGATAATCCTAAGGGTGAGGTCTTCCAACAGAATGTCTGTAATCAGTTCAAATGGGTGTCTCTGAAGGAAAGACAAGATCTTGTTGGATTGAAGGGGCCTTGACAGAAATAGGGCAAAAGGCCCCCATGAGACCCATAACACTCACACAGAAGTGAACTGAGGGGTGTTATTGTGACCTGAGGGCTAGACTTTAGGAAAGCAATCTTCTCCTGAGGAAGGAAGATTCTGGCTTGGGCTATGTCCAAGATTAGAGCCAGGTACTCCAGATGGTGCGGGGGGTGAAGGACAGACAATTCAGCCAAAGGTTTAAAGGAACTGGATGGTCTTGAATGCCAGTAACCTCAACTGGAAGTGCTAGCCTTCCACAGCAAAACACAGAAGATATGATTTTTATATATCTACTGATGCAGGAAACGCCTTTTGTCTGAGGGAAGGAATGACAGATCTCGCAGACTTCTAATATATAAAAAAAATCTGTTCAGTGATTTCACGTCCAGTATTAGTCAGATGCCCCCATTTGGTTTTGAGACTCTGAATAAATAGTTTAAATAATTTAAATGTAATTAAATAAATTTAAATTTAATAAAATAAAAAATTTAAATAGTTTAAATAGAAACCTTGAAACGGTTCTACAGAAGGAACTGGTACAACCAATCCTTATGTATGAAACTGTTGCAAAGCTATCATGAATTTTGCCTTTGGTCTGGATCAACTATCATAATAGACCATTTCTTTTTAAAATCCTTTTATATAGTATAAATATTAGAATAAAAGCTTAGGAGGTGTATAAACATTTTCAGGACACAGCAAATCCTCAAAGTGCACAGTCAATGTGTGTGTATGGGAGAAAAACTTTTTAGACTTAGCCAGTCTCTTAATACCCATAGGGCACTCCAGTGAGTGCTGGAAGGGCAGTCACTGACAGTCATCCCTCTCTTCTCAGAGATGACAGAGAACTGAGAAATCAGCGGTCATTTGATCTCTCAGTGCTCGGGCTTAGAGCCAGCAGAGAACAGCTGCGGCATCAGACTGATTCAGCAGAATGAAGGTAAGTATGTTTTTTTTTTTTTTTTGTGAACCCAAGCTTCTCCTTTAAAAGTCCAGACTTCACTTGTCATGGTGAGCATACCCCTGGGGCCTGGGAACCAGTGAATGGACCACAGCCCTGGACTTGTACAGCACCCTGCAGCTAATTTCACGTTACACTGCATGCCAAAGTAAGTACCAATTCCAGGATCCAGTGCCCAAAGCAAACATTAAACGCTGGCTCCACACAGTGAGGTTCGTATACAGTCACTGAGGTACACACAGAGGGTAACCAATCTCGAAGCTTGAGGAAGCGCAAGGCAATACCGTGACAGAAAATTCAGATTCAAATACTAAAATGGTTTAAAGAAGAAAAACACTTTTGAAAACAGGTCCATCACCTAAAGACACCATGAAAAAAAATGGAGCCTCATGGAGTGGGTGGAGTTATACTGGGAATGCACTAGGGGCCACCCTAGCAAAAGTGGCCATCCACCTGAAGGTAGCAGAATATAATCCATGGCCTTGTCATGTACTGTACATTTAACCCCTTGGGCCTGGCGCCTCTCGGCCTTTAAGGGGTTTGTGATGCCAAAAGTAGCGATCAGGACTTTTCCATGAGGCACCAGAAAATATGCCAGGAGCATGCAGGGCGCGTGCTCTCGGCACGTTTTGTTTACATTGGGTATGCAAATATGCGGCTTCTCGGCATCAAGGCCCAGCCGTCAAGAGAGGCCTCATATTTTCATATGTTCGGTGCCAAGACATTAAGATACAACATTTTACATTCATCACTAGAAAAGGGGTAGGCTGGAGCTAAACAATTGATCTGTAGTGAGTTTAATTGCACTGCTAAAATCACTAGTGATTTATTCCAAAGCATAATAATTGACTACTAAACAGATAGAACACATGGTTCCCTAATGTGTATGCTACACAAGGAGCTTGAAGTGGCATGCTATAGCAATCAATCACACTCAACTGGAGTGTCATCATGAAAAAAAAATGCTATTATCTGCTACTTGGGTAGCTTACACAATATGCAAGTAATTTAATATGTAAGTAATTTAATTTAATCTGTATATCTAATGGTTAATCACAACTCTTAGAGTTGGTTGAGCTAATAAAAATAACTGATGTAGCGCTAGCCCAAAAAGGGACATTTTCTTCAAGGAGGACGCTTGTTTCAGTGACAGATGTCAAAGGTGGTATTGATATTTTCCCCTAATTTGTGCATATCTCCACACACTTTCTTTCAAAATTACTTTCAAACTGAACTTTATGGTCTTAGCCATAAATGCTATATTTGGAGAGGTGTGAAAAAGGCTTAAGGAAATTAAGTCAAAATTGAAGGCAAGGTAAATGCAGGTTATTATCAGAAAATAAGGAAAATGTGCATTTATCAGCTCGGAAACCTGGCACTTGGACTTTCAAAATGACTTTCACAAATAAAAGCTCTCAAAGTAACAGAAAAACATCCAGTTAGAGTTTCAGATCAGGGGAAAACAAAAACTTTTAGGATTCATCCATTACATTTATTAAACATTTATAATCCAAGCATTGGTGCCTCATTTTAAAAGATTTTTTTTCTCTTTACTAGAAAAAAAACACATGTAAAAGGATCATCAATATATCAGGTTCTGTCACAAGCAATCACAAGCAATATGGAGGAAATAAAAGAATTTCATAATAAAGTGGTATAGTTTGAGACACAGCATAACACGGTTGTAACACATGCAAACAAAAGTCTTCAGTTTACCTTAAGAAGATAAGATGCTTTGTCCAACTCTGCTTTCCCGACTAGATGACAGATTAAATTAAAATATTGTTCTGGCTTTATGTCTGAAAGTTTTATTCGTGATTTAGTAAAGGTCTGCTGCCCCATTTGCCAGATTCGTAAAGATTCTACAATTTTGTGGTCTTCTTCAGTGAAGCTGTAAGATTTACTGGATGTTCTTGGCAACACTGGAGCTCCCGCTGTGCCTTCAAAAACTAGAGCTGAAAATCCATTACTGCTGACGCCTAAAAATTCACTGTTGAATTGTGTAATCTAAGGAGAGTAAAAGAGGAAAAAAATTTTCTACTGCCTGACCAATCAAAGAGAACAAGTTTTTCAAATATAATGCCAAATGTTAATATGGTACAATAAACAATAGCAACAAAAGATTAACAATAACAGCTTCACAAGTCCTAAATATTTGTTGTTGTACAAGTAGCAAATGTTCTTAAAGATTATTTTATAGTCAGGGAACTTGAAACAAAACTTGACTAACCAAGTGAAAAATAAAAAAGTGAAAAATAGATAAGTTAAAGTGTA